TGTGTGTGTGTGTGTGTGTGTGTGTGTGTGTGTGTGTGTGTGTGTGTTCCTTTAGGCATTTTCTTTAATTAGGAGAGTCAATCCTGCAACAATACAGGAAGTAACTTGAAGTTATTTTCACCCAAGCAAGACATCCTGGTTGTTGTAAAACATGATTCAGAAGATCCCAAACGAATCTGATGGGGTACAACTTTTAAGTGAAATCTCAATTTGTTTTTATGAAATTACAGATTAATTTCCAACTTCCTAAATTATATCTCAATGCAGTTTTCAAAGAATTATTTACTAAACTTTTAAGGTTAAAAAAAAATAAACTATACCAAAAAAAAAAAAAAAAAAGAAAAAAGGTAATTCAAACAAGTTCACTGAATATCCACTATTGACCAGACATTAGGTTGTTCAGATTAGGAAAAAGCTTAAAGGTAATGGAAGGGGGGAAGCGCACTGCCAGATGGCAAAGGAATTATTCATTCCGGCAAAAAGTAGGAGGGTAAGATCTAAGGACTGAACTAACCTTATGTTTTAAGAAGCATATATTGATTCCTTAAAGATAATAGAAAGGGATATTTATGAAATAGTCTTTTATACCAACTTTCATATATTAGAGCTCTATTTTTTTCTTTGCAGTTGAGTACAGTTAACTCACTTTAGGTTTTTTTTCTTTCTTTCTTTCTTTCTCTCCCTGTTAGATGAGAATGCCATTTTCTTGCCTTGCAAGGAGCTCAAAAACTAAGATCATTTTCAATTTAGTTCACTAATGCTACAGGAGAAAATGGAGGATTTTGTATCTTTCAACAGTAGAGATTTTAAAGGTATGTTTAAAAGCTGTCACAGTTTCATATTATCAACAAGTTCTCAAAAACATAGCAAGTGCTGTGTACTTATGTCCACATGTAAGGTTACTTCGTCACAGCTAATTTCTTTTTTTCAGTCCTTGTTTCGCCAAATTTAAAGAAACCTATTTTCAAGTTAAGAATAAAGGTAAAAAGCAAATGCATCAAAGCACTTTAGACCCTAATCACTGGGTTTGAAGGATTTTAAAGGGTTTCCAGTTAATTTGTTTCCAGGAAGACTGGGGCAATTTGCTTATTTTGGTCTTTATAATCAATAGAGACAATTTTGTTTTAAAAAGACACTACCTTCTTTTTGGAGTTAATCTATTTCAGATTTTTGTTCTGTGGTAGTTAGCTTCATTATGGGCACAGTGGTTTTATTCTATGGGTTTCTCATGTTCAAATCTATCAGGATTTAAATTCATGGAACAATAGGCTGCAACAAAATATTCTTAAAATGATATCCAGCTGTTCATTTAAAATATCACTTTTCCCTGCTTATAGCTTGTCATTAAAGCTTTAAAATATGTAAATTTGGGGTTCTGAACTAATGATTTTTGAAAGCTTAATTGATAGGAAAGGTTCTCGGTGACCCTTTTGCATAGAAACGTTTTCTGATAGATTATTGAGAAATGAGAGCTACCCTGCCATAAGTAATTGATAGATTATACATTCATATTTTGCTCATGTTTTTCAGAATCTAGTGGATACAAACCAGCAAACCTTTTCACAGTGATCTAAGTAGTTAAAAGTTTCTAGGGCATTGTATTTATAGTCTTGAAGATACAATGCTGGACTCTAGACCTAAACAATGACCAACTTATTTTAAAATTGTGCCCCAGGAATTTGAAATAACCACAAATGTGAATATCTCAAACAATGAATGAGATTTCTTCAGAATTTAAATGGGTTTTTAAGAAAATTAAGAATCTGGTGTATATCTTTCCAAACCACTAAGAGGTTCATTTGTCAGGTTTTCTTTTTTTTTTTTTTTTTCTTTTCTGCCACACAACAGGGTTCAAAGTGCTACTATAACTCACTTTTAATTTTAGAGCTAGCAAATTTCTTCTCGGTTTAAGACACAGGCTTTTGAAAACTCAGCAATTTGCTTTCTGTGACCTTTACGTAGAAAATTTTCTTCTCTGAAAAACTTTTAGATTTGGTCCCCTTATATAATTTATCTAATAAACGCTTGTCAGGCAGGTTCTCTGTGAGACGCAGGAGTAGATTGTGAGTAAGATGAATGATCGGGTGGTGGGACTAGTCTGCAGGCATCATTCTAAGGAAAAGCAGCAGAAGCGGAGTGAACTGAAGCACAGGAGTGGGTCGGCCGGGTCTGAGAAACCGGAGTTAACTCTCAGACTGAATAACTGTGAGAGAGAAGAACTATTCGCTGGGGATGGCAAAAAGAAAAATGAAAAGAAGACGTTGTTTCAATAATGAAAATAATGAGTTATTTTAAACATACGGAATGTGAAATGCTGGTGGGTTATTTCAAATGCTAATGTCCTTTATGAAGTCAAAAGTGAAGACCTAGTTCAGGAAGTACCAAGCGATGACAGTAGGGCAAGCTAAACTGACTGATGGTGTTGCCAGTTGAGAATCTTGCAAGAGAATCTCTCATTCTCATTCTGCTTAGTTTAAAAAATCTGGTGGTGGTGGGGGGTGGGGGCATTTGAAATGTACTGGAGAAAGAAAAAGACAATTTTAATGTCATGGATACCTTGGGATACAGACTTTCCATGAGTTGTGGTAATCCATGAAAATTATGACTGAGAACTTTAGACGGATGGTGAATGAGAAGGTGGTAAGGTTAGCAACTTTTGAGAGATAAGTCTGTGTGGATTAGCAAGCAAGGACAGTCTTATAGGCTTCTAAGGTTACATTAAGAAACTTTTGCGTTGTTAACCACAGCACTGTCTTAGTGATAGAGTTTTAATGAATTCTGCTGATACTTTATGAACAAAATGGCAGTTATTAACCAAATATAGCATCCCTTCTTCTTCAAGAAGTCTTGAAATGTTTAAATTGTAGATTGTGTAAGTTATGTCCTGTGAACGAGGGGAGCAAATACAAATTACCTATTAATGCCTGGTGCAATTTCAGAGCTTAAAGAAACAGTTCTTGGTCTATTATTATACATTGGTTTGTATTTTTCCACCCCACCCCACTTTTTAATCTTAGCTAGGAAAAACAAAATGAAGAAAAAAAGAGAGAGAGAATTAAAGTATGATGTGGTATGTGTCTGGAGGAATGATAGGAAGGGGAAGCTACATGTTGGTAAAATGACTAAGGAATGCAAAGCTAATTTGATAGTCGAGTTAATGGAGAGTCATACATTTCTTACATGGATTATAAATTCTCAAGGAATAAAAATGCAATGTAGTTTTAAGATTTCTAGACATGTAAGAACTCCTTTGTTTGATTATTCAGAAGTTACCTCTATCTTTCAGTGCATTGAAGATGCTATTATGAGTACCAGTGATGTGATATTGTAAGCAGATTATGATTGCCTAAGCTTCTGCGGTGTTTAGCTTTTTGACAAATGGGCATAATTAAAACGTGCTGAAAGTGAAAAAAAAAAAAAGTACTTTCAGCTCTCATAACGTCATTCTGTCTGTATAGATCTGCTTTCATCTTTTATGACTAGTCTTTCTTTTACATTTCTCTTAACTTTTTGAACTTTATATTATCACTTTGCAGAATTACAACTTTATAACACAAGGACAGTTTTGTCTTTTGTATGAGTTAAAATATTATAAATATTTTAATTTTGTTAACCTTTGTTAAAAAAAGAAATACTCTCTTATCTACTTAATTTTGTATCAAAAATGACTTTATTGAGACTAAGTCTCTGGGGCACACAATTTTTTTTTTCTGAGGCCCAAAATAACCTGGCACAGTGAATGAGCCTACTATACAAAGGTGCTCTCCGGGCCCTGCAGGTATGGGTGTGAAGGGCTGGAAGAGGAAGTGGAGGAAGCTCCAAGAAGGCTCCATGTTTTTCTTAATTGAGTAAAATTGGGTTACTTACTTGTATTTAAGATATAAAGTTGTCTTGGCCAAGAATTCTGGATTTAAATCTTTGGATTTAAAGTTCAGTTTGATTTTTAACATTGTTACATAAGCTGATTTCTTATCTGCATTAATACTCAGCAATTCTTATACCATTTTCTAATGTCTCCTATGTAGATTATAAGACAAGAGCAGATATTTTTTTTTTGTTTCTTTATCACTAAACTGGTGTTTGAAAGCAACAAAAATATATTTATAGTCTTGCTCTGCCTTTCTATATATGATCATTAATCTTTTGATGACAGTGAATCAAACAAAACAAAAAAGCAAACAGAGACACATAAAAATTTCCACTCTAATAAATCAGCACAGAAGTGAAAAGCTCAATAATATAAAACATTTAAATGATCATCACTGTTTAACCAAATATTACAGTGAACTACAACCTGGTTTAATATGCAAACGAACCTAAGCCAATATTATTATAACAAGGTGACAAGTCTCAGCCAATGTCAGAAGCTGAGCTTCAGCAAATCATGGGCTGCCAACTGCTCAGACCA